GGGGATTGTATGTTTTCAACTTTTTCAATCTTGATAAATGTGATATGCCTGACAGATGAGGCAAAGTCAAATCTGTCTAAATTTTTTGGAGGGAAAATGCGTTATAGGCATTTTGACATAAATTTTACTGTTTTAGGGGTTCCAAATATTCCTTTTACTATTTTTTAATAAGATATTTTAATTTTTTTTATATTCTACTATTTTTTATATTTTTATAAATATATTATCTTTTACATATATCAGTATATTTAAAATATTTTATTATTATTATTTTATTTATTTTATCACATATACTATATAATTGTAATGTTATGTCAAAATATTATCATGAACTAATTTAAAATGTTTTTTAGGTGTATTTTTATTTATAATAACTAATATTCAATTAAATTATATTTTTTTATTATATCTGATTTGACCATTATTGGATCATAGTTCGACTAGTGAACCATGAACTGGTATCTCAACTGGTTGAAAAACTAATCTGACTTTTAAAGCATTATTTTTTTTTTAAACTTGTACAATTGTGGTGTCACATATTTGTACACATCAAGGCCTAAGCATGCATGATGAGCTTCAAATCTGAGCCAGGACTTGTGGAATGTAAAAGGTCCTTTTAAGGCTTTAGCCTGAGCCTAGAAAGACTTTGAGCTTCAAAAAGACCTAGCTTAGGTTGAAAGTATATTTAAAAGCTTACTTTTTATATCAGTACTTTTTACATTTTCTTAAGTCTTAAACAAGCTTTAAGTCTATTAAAGCCCACATATCAATTATCAATTGTTATGTAATAATAAAATTTTTAATCTTTTAAGTTTGTCTCAATTATCAATATGGTTCTTCAAATTTAATTTTTATTGATTATTGATGTGATTTTTTTAATTTACCTTTGCTATTGATATGGTTCTTATTATTAAAAAAGGTGATAACACTGTTAAAATAAGTTAACATAGATAATGGAATATTGAAGACAACTATGAAAATTAATGAAAGGAAGTATAATTATTTATGTATGAAAAATACATTACAAAAAAATTTACTTTCAGTGGCGACATAGTCAAAAAGTTGCCGCTGAAAGTTTTCAATGGCGACAAAAAGTTGCCATAATGTCACCGTGAGAGATCCTGTCGTTGATTCAATCTACGGTGACAATAAAAGTTGCTGCTAAAAGTTGAAAATCTGTGGCGACATTTGTCACCGTCGAAAGTCAAAAAGTCACCACTGAAAGTTTTTAGCGGTGACAAAAAGTCACCACAATGTTGCTGCGAGAGCTCTTATCGCTGATTCAATCTGTGATAACAATAAAAGTCATCATTGAAAGTTGAGAATCGTTGTCACCGCAGAAACCACACATCAGCGGTGACTATTTCTGTCACCACTGAATATTAAGTATCAGAGGCGACATTTGTCACCGCGGAAGCTACCAAAAAGTTGCCGCTGAAAAATAATGTTAGTTCACTTACACACATGGCACCACGTCACCATCCACGTGGCACCCCATCTCATGCCACGTGGCACCATGTCACCTTTCACGTAAGGCCCCACCTCACACCATGTGGCGCCATGTCATCCTCCACGTGTCGCCTTCACCTCACACCACGTGGCACCATGTCACTCTTCATGTGTCACTCTCACCACACGCCATGTGGCGCCCCACCTCATGCCACGTGGCGCCATATCACCCTCCACGTAGGGCCCCACCTCGCACCACGTGGCGCCATGTCACTCTCCATGTGTTGTTCACACCAAACACCACGTGTCATCATGTCATCAATTTATATTTTCATTTTGAAAGTTGTCTCCTCCAAGGTTTAAATCTGTGACCTCCTCTTTTTGTGTCCAACCATTTTGCCACTGAGCTGAAATAAACCTGTAGTCTATTATTATATAATTAAATATATATATATATACACACACATATTATTAAACTATACAAACACACATATATATTAAATATTAAATATTATAAAATATCATTACTATCCTTAAATACTTCAATTTAATTCTTTTAATTTATAAAATTACAAATTATATTATTTATTTTGTTTAAAGTAAACTATAAATATAATTGATAAAATATAATTTGTATTATTTATTTTATTTTTTTTACTTCTTGAGGTTGTTATATTATTTATTTTAATATTCATATCTATAATTATAATATAAAAAATATCTAAGAATAAATAGTAAAAACACTAATGATTATACATTAGTAAAAAAAATTATAAAAATGCAGATAATCAATGGCGACACTAAAAAGTCACTGCTGATTCTCGACTTTCAGCGGTGATTTTTTAATGTTGCCACTGAAACTTACAACATAATTTAAAAAAAAATTAAAAAATGCTGACAATCAGCGGTTGATTCTCGACTTTCAACGGCCACATGTATGTCGCCGTTGAAACTTACAACAAAATTTTTTTAAAAAAATTATAAAAATGCTAACAATCAGCGGCGACACTAAAAAGTCACCGCTGATTCTCGACTTTCAGTGGTGACTTGTATGTCGCCGCTGAAACTTACAATATAATTTTTTAAAAAAATTATAAAAATGGCCAAATCTTTCACATTTATAACAAACTATTTCTATTTTATCTTTTTTAAAGGTTTTTCTATGTTTTTCAGGAAATATTTTTAAAAGAAAATAGATAACACCCCTTTTGAAATAAATCAACAAAGATACATGAACATAATATCACATATAACTTATAAAAAAATGATATTGCCAAATAAGTTTAGTAACAAATAGAGAATATTCAAGAAATATAATATTCAAAAATCCTATGAAAGAATAGGAAAGTTAGGCAGTGGTGTTCCTATTAAGTCTAGGAAGAATAATATTAATAGAAAATAAAACTTGTAGAAATAGAAATATGAGATGGTTTGATAAGATATTAGGATCTAAGTCAAAAAAGAAGAATAAGATAAGTCTTAAGAGTCTTAGTTTATAGCCAAATAGGAATAGTAAACCTGAAGAAAAAGTAGAAGAGGTAGAAATAAAGAAATACATTATAAAAGAATTGAAGAACAAATAAAAATCTGAAAAATAGAAAATAGAATAAATTAAATAAGAGAAAAATTTGAAAGAGATATTTGTGCAGAATATCCAAATTCTTTTTGAAATAGAAAAAGACACAAGAAATTAGGAGTGAAAAACAAATATGACAAAAGAAGAAAAAGAAAAAGCAAAAGAAAAAGAAAAACAAGAGTTGAATTTTGTCAAAAAATAATTTAAGCAAAAAAAAAAAGGTAATTAAGTGAAGCAAATCAAAAGAGCTAATTTAACCATGATTTTTTTGAATTTCTATAAAATCAAAAGACTTTTGATTTTATAGGCATTGAGTTAAATGGCCATTTCTCTATCTTTTAATATAAACTTCTCTTCACTTATAATATTACAAGATATGTATATGTATCTATACATACATACATACATACATACATACATACATACATACAACTTGGTTAAATAAATGGGAATGAAAATAAATTGAAACTTAAATAAAAAAAACATCATGAAATTGGTAAAACAAAAATATATTTTTTCCTATGAAAAATACTTTAATCTAATTTTGAAAACACAAAAATTGAACTTGTCATAACATTTAATTTCTAAAGCATAAGAAAGCTGACAATCAGTGGTGACACTAGAAAGTCGCCGCTGATTCTCGACTTTCAGCGGTGACATACATGACGCCGCTGAAACTTGCAATATAATTTTTTAAAAAAAATTATAAAACTGCTGACAATCAGCGGTAACACTACACTGATTCTCGACTTTCAGCGGCGACATACATGTCGCCGCTGAAACTTGCAACATAATTTTTTTAAAAAAATTATAAAAATGCTGACAATCAGCGGCGACATTAGGAAGTAGCCGCTGATTCTCAACTTTCAGCTGTAACATGTATGTTGTTGCTGAAACTTGCAACATAATTCTTTTAAAAAAATTATAAAAATACTGACAATCAGCAACGACATTAGAAAATCGCCGCTGATTCTAAACTTTTAGCGGCGACGTCTGTGGCAACAACAAATGTCGTCGTTGAAAGTGTGACTTTATGTGGCGACATGCACTTGTTGTCGCTGAAAGTCTAACAATCAGCGGTGACTATATCTTGTCACTGCAGAAAGTCATACTTTCAGCAGCAACTTTTACTGTCGTCATTGAAATTTGAGAATCAGCGGTGATTTTTTAATGTCGCCACTGAAAGTCGCCGCTGAAAGTTATTTTTTTTAAAGTGAATAGTCATGAATTTTAAAGAACAAAATGTAGCGTATGAGGCTAATACAAATTAACTTAACTTGAAAGCTAACATGTTCTCATTAGCTACATTTATATATTAGATTAACTTAAGAGTTAATTTATCTTAAAGGGCTAACATAATAATTTAAAAAAACATAAGATACTAAATCGATAAACATTAAACTTGAAAGACTAAAATGATAATTAAGATAAACTTAAGGGACTGAAAATTTTTAAACACTAAAGTATTATAATCCCAAATAGTAAATTATATAGCAGCATACAACAACATAAACCAAATCCATCTAAGGTAGAACAATACAACAATTCAACAAAATGAAAACTAAACAATGAAAATAAAGCAATAACAATCCAACAATAGATCGACCGTAGCAGCATCAATCTAGTCTTGAGTAATATTGTTTTGTAAGAAATTTAATTAAAACAAAAATTAACTTCAGCCAATTTCCTTGATATGTGCAAACTAATTAACAATATCTTATATTTGAGACCAGTAAAAAAGTAATATCATGTTATATATGTATATATGTGATAAAATTGATAAATTATAAATACGATGATTTGTGTTTTTGATGAATAATGAACTTTAATATTCATTGATAAGGCATGGTATTGGTCTAATCTATGACTGTTAGATACCAGAAACTTTAAGTTGAAAAAGATAAAAAAGAAAAAAAAGAAAAAAAGCAGAACCTAAAGGGTTGATGGAATAACTTTAATGAAGAAAAACCCAAGTGTCCCTTCAAGGGACATCCGATAAAATTAGAAAGATATAGAAAAAGTTAACATGAGCTCTACACAAGAATGACATGCATAAATTGAGAAAAAAAATCTAAGTTATAAAAACTTACCTAACCCTTCCTATTTTCTCTATCAACCCGTGATAGCCCATGTCATATGAGTCTAGATAGCTCCTACTTCTTTCGAGTTAAGAAAAAACAACTACAAACCAGCCATGACATCAACACGCTACTCGTAAGTGCCAAAAAAGATCAGATACATTATGTATTATAAAATACAACCAAGAAACACTCATATAATTAATTATTAATCAATAATTCAAAAGTAATTCACAAACTATTATTATTCAATCAACTTCTCTCCTAATTTATTCCACATAAAAGCCATTAGAACTCTGGATAGAAGTTAAGACTACATATAACAACGTTCTTGCGTACAACAAGACCGCATAGAGTATTAATACCTTGTTCGTGTATATATGAAGAGTACAAGTGTATGGAAGAACAGATCCAAAAAGAAGCTAATTAAACTCTCCAAATATCCCATATTATTCTTCAGCGATTAAAATCAATGAAAGAAGTGGTGATGCTGCTTTCCATGAGCCTCTTCATCTTCTTTCTTCAGTTGTTTCTTCTCATGATGCTCATGAAACGCAAATCCACCTGCTCCAACAGCAGCTGCTGCTGCAATCTCTTCCTCTATCTTGTGCCTATGTGCATGTTCTGGGTCTTTCTTCGACTTGTGCTTCTCATGCTGCACACACAGTTTAATCATATATATTGTTTCTTCAATTTAATCATAATTCTTATTAATACTAACTAATCATCACTAATTTAAGATTAATTTTTGTTTATATATATATATATATATAGTTATTTACGTACCAATGCGAAGGCACCGGCAGCAACAGCTCCTAGCTCTCCAAGCTGTTCCAGATGCTTGTAGTGCTTCTCTTCCTTTCTGTAATCAATCTCACCGGTCGGATTTTCTTGGTGGTGGTGGTGGTGGTGGCGGCCGCCTTCAGACATGGTGGCTTTCAGAATATGATGATTGTTTGGATGGAGAGAAAATAATGGAATATATATGTCTACTGCTCTGTGTGTGTTGAGGCGTTTATGTGGGAAGCTCAAAGCTATTTATAATTCCATTCTGGTTGATAGTTTCTTATCGATTAATGCTATGTGAAATATATAAAATTTTAAAAATATACCTGCCAAGAAGCTTCTTGATTTCTTTTTTTTTTTTAAAAAAAAAAAGCCGCGTTTGCTATGAATTCCTTCAAGGAAAAAAATAATCTTCTTTTGGATAATATAGGTGGAAAATTGTAGATGTATGATAACTAAAATTACCAAGATGACAGTATATAGACAAGAATACAATAATAATGAGTATAATGATTATATATTATTCCTTCTGTTTAAAAATGTAAGGCATTTTTAACTGAATCTCACCTCCAATAAAGTAGTTACCTACATTCAAACTAATCCTATCTTTTCATATTTACCCCTATTAAACACCCTATAATAAATATAAAGTCATTATCAATAGGGACATTTTTTTTAAAAAAGGCAATGATTATACCTTAAAAGATTAAAAATGACTTACATTTTTTAACATCTAACTTTTCAAAAAAGATCTTACATTTTTGAATGGAGGGAATATTAAATTATAAATATTAATATGAAAAATGTTTTTCCAAATAATTTAAATGATCTGATGAAATCTTTATTGTAGGATTAACAATTGATGATATTCGTAAATTATAGTAAATATTTTCATGATTAATTAATTAGTTAATTGAAACCAAGTCATATGAACATACGGGGCAGGCAAAAAGCATGTAATGATTTTTCTAATGAAAATATAATTTTATATTTCTTAATTCTATGATCATATATTATCCAAGTCAAAATCAGCGTCCTGAATATAAAAATCTCCTTCAATGTTGAAAGCCATTAATAATACAATGTATAAGTTTAGGTGCTAAAGTCATTTTCGATAGTCAAAAAAGACACCTTAATTATTAATCAAGTCAACATGTGGCTAGTTGTCTATACAATACACACACATTACGTGTTGATATTTGAGATCTAGAAGGAATTATTTAATATGATTCATTGACAAAATTGTATACGGCTAATCTGTTATATATATATATATATATATATACGCACACACTTTAACTAGTGCGTAAGATTTCTAGGCTGTTTTTACAGGGGAAGGTATTTACTGGGGAAATAAAAGTTGACTTAATAATGTGGCTTATTCCCAAAGGCTCCATTGTTTGTTGCCATATAGATTATGGATTTAGATTTAATTTGACGGGGTGATTTTCCTTTTCCAGTTGAATGAGTGGAATTTTGGGCTGAAACCTGTCATAGGATTTTATTTTTTTGAAAAAAAAAAGGCAGAACGAGTGGACTTTCTGTCATAAAAAAAAAAAAAAAAGATTACCTCCCCCCAAAGTATTGATGGCAAAGAGTAGACTTCTTTTAACTAAGTTACTATGTACACAAGGGTTAGGATTTGAACTCCAATTTATTTTTGAAAAGATAATAGAAGTATTATTCTATCACCCTTGTATTTTTTGGGCACGAATTACACATAAGTCTCATTCAAGACAATTAATTACTCCTAAATAAGTCTCATTCAAGACAATTAATTACTCCTACATAAGTCTCATTCAAGACAATTAATTACTCCTAGATCCATTGACAGCTGATCTTAGGAGAATAATAACATATTGTGCTTGTTTTTTTGACGGTACTTATGCTTGTCACCTATAACATCCCAAAAATTATTCCATTGATTAATTAAGCTAATAAAGTGTAAATTTATAAATTTAAATATACATGGATTTGAAAATAGTTAGAGACAACTATTGGCTTTGGTTTTAACTTTTGGATTAGGTTCAGAAGTGAATTGATTCACTCAAGCTCAAATTGAAGAGAAAAGAAATCAGATTTTTAGCCCAATGTATTATGCTACAATATAAAAATTTACACTGTAGTAGAAATTACAAAATAAGCTTTTTTAAAAACACAAAAAAAACATCCGAAACAAGGGAAATGAGTCTGAAACAGAGGGAAGGCGACAAAGAAAGTTGTTCCTTTGCTAGGGCATCAACTCTTGGGCATTTTAAAGGTGATTGAAGCTTGATTTGACCTAGGTATGTCTTCTTTATCTCTTCTTCTTCTCTCTACACATTTTGAAAGTGAGATTTGATGTTGGAAGATGATGATTTTCAAACCTAAGGCTATAGGTTTGAATTCATTGGTCTAAATAGGACTAATAGGAGTTGTTTGAGTTATCCAAACCTAGATATAGTGGTTTTATACATCCATGAGAGTGGGCTCTCAATTATGAACGAAACAATGCCCTAAAGTGTCATAAATGGTGGTGCTTGAGGTAGATGGCTACCATTGATGTTGATTAGGAATTGTGTTAGTGTTAGTTGGAGCTAATGAGAGCTAATAAACCTAATGTGGTAATTAAACTCAATAGTTGAGAGTTTTGGGTTATTAAAGTGTTAAAATTTGAGAGTTAAAAGCTAGCAATTTGTGACATTGATGATGATTTTGGGTTGTTGGATTATATATTAGTGATTATTTAAGTTGTTAAGAGCTAAATAAAATTAATGGGAGTTAAGGAACTCATGTGAGGTTAATTTTATAGTTGAAAAATTTGGTTTTTAAAGTATGAAATTAGATGTTGAAAGTGATGATTTTAATAATTAATAGTGATGGATGTTAATGTAATTGTAGACTAACCTCATGAAGCACCGGTGAGCTTGAATTTAGCTTGGAAAGCAAGTTGTGATTGAAGGGTAACCTTTAATCTCTCAAAGGTTTAAGGTAACCGGAGGAAACCTAGTTTATATAGTTGAATATTAATGGATTCTTATTGAAATGGATGATTTGAAACATGCTTGTTATTTTAAACTCTTGATGCAAAATTGGCGTATTTGAAAACGTGATATTGTTGAAGTGTTATGTTCACTTATATATGAATAATGATGATGATTGCAATTATATGAGTATGTACTATTTGTTATGTGGTATTTGGTATGTAGAGTGGATTATGTGAGTATAGATATGTGAATCCATGATATCTGATTGATGATTAAGATGCATGACTATGTGGTATACATGCATAGTATGATCATTGGCGAGAGTTTGCCTAGGGAGAGGAGTAGATTGGTAAATTCATATGGTATTGACAGTGATCGTTGGAATCAGGAGGTTATGTTGGCATTGACTATTGGAATTGGGAGATAGCCCTTGTCCCACGGTAAATTCGAGACTGTCCCACTTGTTTAATGAGGGACTTAAACCTAACTAGTCTCTATTGGTTTATGAGGAGGCTAAATTAGGGGTACAACACCCTATGGTTGTTAATATTGGGGGAAATCGGATTATATAAGTGAGTGAGTTGACCCTGGCCTGGTAGCTTCTTACAAGTGAAAGGTTGGGTTGGTTTGTGAAAGACGTAGCCACCAAATAGCCACCGGTTTCATATCGAAAGTAATCAGAAGGGTATAAGGTTGGCATATAATCATGCATTTAGTCTTGGCCACATGGTTATTAGTATTGTGGTTCGGCGCGGTTAGGGGCGCATGGTTAGTATTATTGCGACTTGTAATGTTCGCCTTGACATTACCAGGACAACACTCACATATCGTTGTGATAATTAGGATTTAATAAAACCCCTTACCAAAGCTACCACAACTCAAGGGTTTGAAAATAATTAGTTAAAATATTGGGATCCTAATAAAATCCTTTTTAAAATATAGTTTAAGCTCAAACCATAGTTAAAAATCAATTAAGAGCAAATACAGAAGCATGGAAATCAATTCACTTCGAAACAGACTAAAATAAGTCATTTAGCCCTTATTTGGTCCGTTTGCCATGACGGATGGTACAGAAGGATGAGTCCCTTGCAGGCCTTTGGCACCGCAACGCGTACCTGTTGTCATGACATCATATTGCTGTCATAATTTTTCTCCAAACTTCTAGAGCCCGCCGTTTCACCATCTGACATTCAATTTGAGCGATTCAAGTGTCCACACGAAGCTCTTTGAGCCTTCTAGCTAATGGCATTAGTCTCACACTTAAACAATCATCCGTTTAAAAGATGGATACCTGAACCCAAAATGATTTGTTTTCACAACAAAATACATACTATGGTGTCCAACTCACAATACACAATGCCATTAGCCCTAGAGACACCTTGACCACCTTAAATGGACCACACACTACATAACAATCCATTCATATCACACAATTAAGCAATCATGCTCAAAATGACCATCAAACCCCCATTGTACAATAACACAACGGGGTGGACAAAATTCAACACATCAATCAATTAATCATTTTGACACTTAAAACACTTGAAATATATATATATATATCACTTGTAAATATAACTTGGCCAAGCACACACTTAATCTAATACATCAAACTTGGACCAAGATATACACACTTATCAAAAGATTCACAGAAATAATATCCAAATAATGTCATGTTTCTAAGTTGGCAATATATAGTGACAATATTCATTACAAAACCAAATAGGAGAAAGGGAAGAGCTATACTACAACGCTTTTCACTCTTCAGATGCTCCTTCCTTCCCCTTGCCCCTACCGAAGCCTTCGCCTGTAAAATATAATCATAAGGCGAGATAAACATCTTAATAACCAATATAGTTCATCAAATGTTTATTACCATAAATAACCATGAAAAATTATCAAAATCATAGAAATAACAAGCATAGCATAATTATGAGATAAGTATCTCTCTTCTTAACAAAACACATAGTTTTATACTAGCATGATCATTTAACCATCAAACTTCTAATGATCCCTAACATGAAACCATAGGCTCTCTTCACTTGTTGACCCAAGCACACTTTCGATAGTAGAAATACCCGGCCAAAGGTAATTTAACCCGCTTACGGCCTATGGTTTTTTCCTTTTCACACACTTGTGATAGAGGCGTCGTTGACTCCTAACTGCACCCTAATGGGTACTAGAGAGTTGTCAGACTATCCGGATGTCCCATGATAGTAGTCCCATATAATGCTGCACCGGATGTGCCATGGTGT